ATGCATTATTTATTGAATGAAGTCAATATCCTGAAAGTTATAGCTTATTTGCAAGTCGGACTAAAAAAATGTTTGGCGATTTTTGTTCAAAATTTCAAAATAAGCCACTTTTCCAGTTTGCTCTACTCTCTTTTTAAGAAAATGTTTGTTTTTTTCTCTCAATACGCATAATTAAATAATATCTTCTCATATAACCGAGAATGAATTGACCATTGATGTGCATATTTAATTTACATGACTGATCAAAGTAATATGAGAATTTAGCACAATTTCTCTTTATTTATTTATTTATTTTTAAATTTTTATTATGGGGTACAAGATGTGGGGTACAATCAGGATTAAGTATATAAACATTGATCATGCAGGTACCCTTGCTGATGAGGTATGCCCCTCCCTCCCTTAGCGGTTTGATACCTGACCCTGAGTTTTCAAAATCATCAGTAAGAATTGTTTTTAAATGATGAAAAATTATTTCTAACACAACTTTTATTTTGATTTCTTAGAAAAATATAACTTGAGTAGGTGTGTCTATTTATCATTGTATGCTACTTGTCTGGGACCTGTTGGTGTATATGAATAAAAAGAAATATGAATCCATTGAAGAGATTCAGTGTAACTAAGGATAGTTAGATTTTCTTTGCAAGTTGTCTATAGATGGACCCCAGCTAAGAGTGATTTTATAAAGCATCAGACAGAAACAGACTTGACTATTTAGTGGATCTTAATCATTGGTACATTAGAAATATAACACAAAACCACAGTTTTATTGCAGATCAGTTAACAGGAGTCATTTTTAAAATTAAACCACACAGCAAGAATTTTAATTGTACAGTGATTATTTCATAAATGCAACCAATGTTCATGGCTCCTTAACTAATAGAAATGCCAATTTTATAAAATTTTATCTACTTGAGACATTCATAAGTAAGCCCTCAAAGCAACTCTGACCTTTTGGGCCTCCAAAGAGCAGTTTTCTAAAAAGACACCAATTATGCCACATCCTGCAATATCTCTCAGACACAGAATTAACCCCAGATGAAGGACGATACACGATAAAGAGAACATCTCTTTGACTTACAGAAATTCAAGAGATCAGACTTTTTATTGTTAAAGATAAAATTTTATTTGGAAGATATCCTCAGTACAAGTCATTTTTAACAGCTATATATTTTTCTTTTTAAAAAAAGCATAAAGTAAGCTTTTATAAAATATTTTATTTAAACTAAAATTAGTAATTTGAAAATATTTTTTCATACATATTCTCCCCTGGTCTCACAGACAGTCCTCAGAGTTTTTGCTGAAAAATACAATTTTCTTTATTTTCTGAATTTACTTTTGATTTGTAGAATCAAAGTAGAAGTTGGAAATAGAATTACAAAAGTTCCTAATCAATTATGAAAAGCTAAGTTTTTTTCATTTTTATTTTGTTTGTTTTTTAGAGTTGGAGTCTCACTGTCGCCCAGACTGGAGTGCAGTGGCTGCTCCCGGCCACCACAGG